CCTCCTTTGCCCCCTCCTCTGGGCTCCTGACTCTCTCTGCAGACTTTCTACTGCTTCTCCTTAGCTCTTACTGCTGTCTTTCAGCCACACCCCTGTTCTTCTGGTAGGAAAGATCTACACCTAGCCTTCTCGGACAAGGGCGAAAAACCTCGGAGGGCCCGTTTGCAAGTTGAGCACGTTAAAGATACCCTGGTGGTCTAAAATCGATAAGAGTAGGTTTTGGCCGCCACCCGGGCAAAATTCAAAATTTCCTTTCAACTGAAAACGTTAAATGTGTCAGGCGCGCTCATATGACTTTATGCAGTTGCGAGCGCCGTAAAACACTTGCCAAACAAAAAAAAGAGGGGTAGGGTTTGGGTCAGGGTTTGGGTCTGGGATTGGGTTAGGGTTATAGTTAGGGTTAGGTCTCTTCTTTATTGTGTTTGTTGGGGTGGTCGCTTGCTGTGGCAGTCCTTCCACCCCTGGCGGCTATCAGTCAGTCACTTCACAAGATATGACAGCAGGAGACTGTAAAACGGTACTTGTTGTCCGGTGAATCATCTGGCTGATTACACAGCTTTTAATCGGGGTGGTGGAGGGAGATTCTATAACGAGCGACCACTATGGAATAGATGGAGTGCTTGGGTTAGGGTCATGTTAGAGTTAAAGTTAGGTACCTTCTTTAATGTTTATTTGGGTGGTCCCTCATTACGGAAGTCCTTTAATATGTATCACCCCCATCTGGAACTCTGTTGTGGGTGATTGGAAGGCACCACTGATAGGTCTTACTTCTGTTGATTTTCCCTTTTTTTGTTTCGGTCTCTCTGTTGTAGTTTTTCCAAGCACTAAATGAGCATTGTTGTGTCGATATGCTTTTCTTTTCTCAAACAATCTTGCTGTTTGTGACCTGTGAGCTCTCTGTGAACATGACCTTTGTATGTGGGCATGGCCTTTTCACCTGTGACCTTTGCTGTTCCCCAGTTCGAGCAGCTCATCCAAGGTAAAGGACAAAGAAGCCCAGCATCAACAGCAGAAGAAGAAACGTCCAGCAGAGGAGCTGGTGGACAGGGTCTTCCGCAAGGTAACATGAGAAAAGATAACAAAAGATACATTTTTATTGATCTACTTGGGAAATTTTTAATGGATATGCATTTTGTTACTTCTAGCAGATATTTCATTTGTTTCATGGCGAGTGTGTTCAATATCATTAATGACTGTGTATTTGCGTGCGTGTGTGTATGTGTGTGTGTGTATTAATTTATGTATCTGTTGTCATTTTATTATGTGCTGATTTGTGAGCCAAAGTCGATAAAATCATTTAAATCTTAACAAATTCTCTCTCTCTCCATCACACCCCCCCCCCCTCCCCCATCCCCAGCTACCGCCTGTGAAGCCAAACAAGGTGAGCCGCTCCATCCACTACGTCAAGAGTAAGACAGGGCCGTTCTTCAAGAGGAAGCCAGCGTCTAGCTCGGCTAAGAAAAACAAAGGTGGGGGTCTCAAGTTTTGTCTCATGTTTTCTTTGTCTCTCTCTTTCTCTCTCTTTTACTCTCTCTCCTCTCTCTTTTCTCTGCTCTCTGCTCTCTCTCTCTTTCTCTCTCTCTGTCTCTCTCTCTTTCTCTCTCTCTTTCTCTCTCTCTCTTTCTCTCTCTCTCTCTCTCTCTCTCTCTCTT